ATTTTCTTATATTTTCCATAGTTTTGCCGTTTTTTATGTTTTCGCATATTTTTCATAGTTTTGCGGTAAATACTGTTTTAGTTTTACTGGTTTAGTTTACTTTGGTTTAGATTAGTTTAGAATAGTTTCGTTTAGTTTAATTTGGTTAAGTTTCGTTAAATTTTTTTACTTAAGTTTAGTTTAGTTTATTTCCGGTTCCAGTTCAGGTTCAACTTCGGGTTCTGATAACGGTTCCGATTCCGGTTCCGATTCTGGTTCCGGTTCGGTTCCGGTTCCGATTCCGATTTCGGTTCCAATTCAATTTAACAATTCTAAGTTTCCGGATATTTTCCATTGTTTTGCCAAATTTGATATTTTCTTATATTTTCCATAGTTTTGCCGTTTTTTATGTTTTCGCATATTTTTCATAGTTTTGCGGTAAATACTGTTTTAGTTTTACTGGTTTAGTTTACTTTGGTTTAGATTAGTTTAGAATAGTTTCGTTTAGTTTAATTTGGTTAAGTTTCGTTAAATTTTTTTACTTAAGTTTAGTTTAGTTTATTTCCGGTTCCAGTTCTGGTTCAACATCGGGTTCCGATACCGGTTCCGATTTTGGTTCCGATTCCGGTTCCGATTCCGGTTCCGATTCTAGTTCCGGTTCCGGTTCCGATTCCGATTTCGGTTCCGATTCAATTTAACAATTCTAAGTTTCCAGAATATTTTAAATATTTTCTTATATTTTCCATTTCATTTTTTGCCGTTTTTTATGTTTTCGCATATTTTTCATAGTTTTGCGGTAAATACTGTTTTAGTTTTACTGGTTTAGTTTACTTTGGTTTAGATTAGTTTAGAATAGTTTCGTTTAGTTTAATTTGGTTAAGTTTCGTTAAATTTTTTTACTTAAGTTTAGTTTAGTTTATTTCCGGTTCCAGTTCTGGTTCAACATCGGGTTCCGATACCGGTTCCGATTTTGGTTCCGATTCCGGTTCCGATTCTAGTTCCGGTTCCGGTTCCGATTCCGATTTCGGTTCCGATTCAATTTAACAATTCTAAGTTTCCAGATATTTTCCATTGTTTTACCAAATTTGATATTTTCTTATATTTTCCATAGTTTTGCCGTTTTTTATGTTTTCGCATATTTTGCATAGTTTTGCGGTAAATACTGTTTTAGTTTTACTGGTTTAGTTTACTTTGGTTTAGATTAGTTTAGAATAGTTTCGTTTAGTTTAATTTGGTTAAGTTTCGTTAAATTTTTTTACTTAAGTTTAGTTTAGTTTATTTCCGGTTCCAGTTCAGGTTCAACTTCGGGTTCTGATAACGGTTCCGATTCCGGTTCCGATTCTGGTTCCGGTTCCGGTTCCGATTCCGATTTCGGTTCCAATTCAATTTAACAATTCTAAGTTTTCGGATATTTTCCATTGTTTTGCCAAATTTGATATTTTCTTATATTTTCCATAGTTTTGCCGTTTTTTTTGTTTTCGCATATTTTTCATAGTTTTGCGGTAAATACTGTTTTAGTTTTACTGGTTTAGTTTACTTTGGTTTAGATTAGTTTAGAATAGTTTCGTTTAGTTTAATTTGGTTAAGTTTCGTTAAATTTTTTTACTTAAGTTTAGTTTAGTTTATTTCCGGTTCCAGTTCAGGTTCAACTTCGGGTTCTGATAACGGTTCCGATTCCGGTTCCGATTCTGGTTCCGGTTCCGGTTCCGGTTCCGATTCCGATTTCGGTTCCAATTCAATTTAACAATTCTAAGTTTCGGATATTTTCCATTGTTTTGCCAAATTTGATATTTTCTTATATTTTCCATAGTTTTGCCGTTTTTTATGTTTTCGCATATTTTTCATAGTTTTGCGGTAAATACTGTTTTAGTTTTACTGGTTTAGTTTACTTTGGTTTAGATTAGTTTAGAATAGTTTCGTTTAGTTTAATTTGGTTAAGTTTCGTTAAATTTTTTTACTTAAGTTTAGTTTAGTTTATTTCCGGTTCCAGTTCTGGTTCAACTTCGGGTTCCGATACCGGTTCCGATTTTTCCGATTCCGGTTCCGATTCCGGTTCCGATTCTAGTTCCGGTTCCGGTTCCGATTCCGATTTCGGTTCCGATTCAATTTAACAATTCTAAGTTTCCAGATATTTTCCATTGTTTTACCAAATTTGATATTTTCTTATATTTTCCATAGTTTTGCCGTTTTTTATGTTTTCGCATATTTTCATAGTTTTGCGGTAAATACTGTTTTAGTTTTACTGGTTTAGTTTACTTTGGTTTAGATTAGTTTAGAATAGTTTCGTTTAGTTTAATTTGGTTAAGTTTCGTTAAATTTTTTTACTTAAGTTTAGTTTAGTTTATTTCCGGTTCCAGTTCTGGTTCAACTTCGGGTTCTGATAACGGTTCCGATTCCGGTTCCGATTCTGGTTCCGGTTCCGGTTCCGATTCCGATTTCGGTTCCAATTCAATTTAACAATTCTAAGTTTCCAGATATTTTCCATTGTTTTACCAAATTTGATATTTTCTTATATTTTCCATAGTTTTGCCGTTTTTTATGTTTTCGCATATTTTTCATAGTTTTGCGGTAAATACTGTTTTAGTTTTACTGGTTTAGTTTACTTTGGTTTAGATTAGTTTAGAATAGTTTCGTTTAGTTTAATTTGGTTAAGTTTCGTTAAATTTTTTTACTTAAGTTTAGTTTAGTTTATTTCCGGTTCCAGTTCGTTCTTCAACTTCGGGTTCTGATAACGGTTCCATTCCGGTTCCGATTCTGGTTCCGGTTCCGGTTCCGGTTCCGATTCCGATTTCGGTTCCAATTCAATTTAACAATTCTAAGTTTTCGATATTTTCCATTGTTTTGCCAAATTTGATATTTTCTTATATTTTCCATAGTTTTGCCGTTTTTTACGTTTTCGCATATTTTGCATAGTTTTGCGGTAAATACTGTTTTAGTTTTACTGGTTTAGTTTACTTTGGTTTAGATTAGTTTAGAATAGTTTCGTTTAGTTTAATTTGGTTAAGTTTCGTTAAATTTTTTTACTTAAGTTTAGTTTAGTTTATTTCCGGTTCCAGTTCTGGTTCAACATCGGGTTCCGATAACGTTTCCGATTTTGGTTCCGATTCCGGTTCCGATTCCGGTTCCGATTCTAGTTCCGGTTCCGGTTCCGATTCCGATTTCGGTTCCGATTCAATTTAACAATTCTAAGTTTTTGGATATTTTCCATTGTTTTGCCAAATTTGATATTTTCTTATATTTTCCATAGTTTTGCCGTTTTTTACGTTTTCGCATATTTTGCATAGTTTTGCGGTAAATACTGTTTTAGTTTTACTGGTTTAGTTTACTTTGTTTTAGATTAGTTTAGAATAGCTTCGTTTAGTTTAATTTGGTTAAGTTTCGTTAAATTTTTTTACTTAAGTTTAGTTTAGTTTATTTCCGGTTCCAGTTCTGGTTCAACTTCGGGTTCTGATAACGGTTCCGATTCCGGTTCCGATTCTGGTTCCGGTTCCGGTTCCGATTCCGATTTCGGTTCCAATTCAATTTAACAATTCTAAGTTTCCAGATATTTTCCATTGTTTTACCAAATTTGATATTTTCTTATATTTTCCATAGTTTTGCCGTTTTTTATGTTTTCGCATATTTTTCATAGTTTTGCGGTAAATACTGTTTTAGTTTTACTGGTTTAGTTTACTTTGGTTTAGATTAGTTTAGAATAGTTTCGTTTAGTTTAATTTGGTTAAGTTTCGTTAAATTTTTTTACTTAAGTTTAGTTTAGTTTATTTCCGGTTCCAGTTCTGGTTCAACTTCGGGTTCTGATAACGGTTCCAATTCCGGTTCCGATTCTGGTTCCGGTTCCGGTTCCGGTTCCGATTCCGATTTCGGTTCCAATTCAATTTAACAATTCTAAGTTTTCGGATATTTTCCATTGTTTTGCCAAATTTGATATTTTCTTATATTTTCCATAGTTTTGCCGTTTTTTATGTTTTCGCATATTTTTCATAGTTTTGCGGTAAATACTGTTTTAGTTTTACTGGTTTAGTTTACTTTGGTTTAGATTAGTTTAGAATAGTTTCGTTTAGTTTAATTTGGTTAAGTTTCGTTAAATTTTTTTACTTAAGTTTAGTTTAGTTTATTTCCGGTTCCAGTTCTGGTTCAACATCGGGTTCCGATACCGGTTCCGATTTTGGTTCCGATTCCGGTTCCGATTCCGGTTCCGATTCTAGTTCCGGTTCCGGTTCCGATTCCGATTTCGGTTCCGATTCAATTTAACAATTCTAAGTTTCCAGATATTTTCCATTGTTTTACCAAATTTGATATTTTCTTATATTTTCCATAGTTTTGCCGTTTTTTACGTTTTCGCATATTTTGCATAGTTTTGCGGTAAATACTGTTTTAGTTTTACTGGTTTAGTTTACTTTGTTTTAGATTAGTTTAGAATAGTTTCGTTTAGTTTAATTTGGTTAAGTTTCGTTAAATTTTTTTACTTAAGTTTAGTTTAGTTTATTTCCGGTTCCAGTTCTGGTTCAACTTCGGGTTCGATACCGGTTCCGATTTTGGTTCCAATTCGGTTCGATTCCGGTTCCGATTCTAGTTCCGTTCCGGTTCCGATTCCGATTTCGGTTCCAATTCAATTTAACAATTCTAAGTTTCCAGATATTTTCCATTGTTTTACCAAATTTGATATTTTCTTATATTTTCCATAGTTTTGCCGTTTTTTATGTTTTCGCATATTTTTCATAGTTTTGCGGTAAATACTGTTTTAGTTTTACTGGTTTAGTTTACTTTGGTTTAGATTAGTTTAGAATAGTTTCGTTTAGTTTAATTTGGTTAAGTTTCGTTAAATTTTTTTACTTAAGTTTAGTTTAGTTTATTTCCGGTTCCAGTTCTGGTTCAACTTCGGGTTCTGATAACGGTTCCGATTCCGGTTCCGATTCTGGTTCCGGTTCCGGTTCCGATTCCGATTTCGGTTCCAATTCAATTTAACAATTCTAAGTTTCCAGATATTTTCCATTGTTTTGCCAAATTTGATATTTTCTTATATTTTCCATAGTTTTGCCGTTTTTTACGTTTTCGCATATTTTGCATAGTTTTGCGGTAAATACTGTTTTAGTTTTACTGGTTTAGTTTACTTTGGTTTAGATTAGTTTAGAATAGTTTCGTTTAGTTTAATTTGGTTAAGTTTCGTTAAATTTTTTTACTTAAGTTTAGTTTAGTTTATTTCCGGTTCCAGTTCAGGTTCAACTTCGGGTTCTGATAACGGTTCCGATTCCGGTTCCGATTCTGGTTCCGGTTCCGGTTCCGATTCCGATTTCGGTTCCAATTCAATTTAACAATTCTAAGTTTCCAGATATTTTCCATTGTTTTACCAAATTTGATATTTTCTTATATTTTCCATAGTTTTGCCGTTTTTTATGTTTTCGCATATTTTGCATAGTTTTGCGGTAAATACTGTTTTAGTTTTACTGGTTTAGTTTACTTTGGTTTAGATTAGTTTAGAATAGTTTCGTTTAGTTTAATTTGGTTAAGTTTCGTTAAATTTTTTTACTTAAGTTTAGTTTAGTTTATTTCCGGTTCCAGTTCTGGTTCAACTTCGGGTTCTGATAACGGTTCCGATTCCGGTTCCGATTCTGGTTCCGGTTCCGGTTCCGATTCCGATTTCGGTTCCAATTCAATGTAACAATTCTAAGTTTTTGGATATTTTCCATTGTTTTGCCAAATTTGATATTTTCTTATATTTTCCATAGTTTTGCCGTTTTTTACGTTTTCGCATATTTTGCATAGTTTTGCGGTAAATACTGTTTTAGTTTTACTGGTTTAGTTTACTTTGGTTTAGATTAGTTTAGAATAGTTTCGTTTAGTTTAATTTGGTTAAGTTTCGTTAAATTTTTTTACTTAAGTTTAGTTTAGTTTATTTCCGGTTCCAGTTCTGGTTCAACATCGGGTTCCGATACCGGTTCCGATTTTGGTTCCGATTCCGGTTCCGATTCTAGTTCCGGTTCCGGTTCCGATTCCGATTTCGGTTCCGATTCAATTTAACAATTCTAAGTTTCCAGATATTTTCCATTGTTTTACCAAATTTGATATTTTCTTATATTTTCCATAGTTTTGCCGTTTTTTACGTTTTCGCATATTTTGCATAGTTTTGCGGTAAATACTGTTTTAGTTTTACTGGTTTAGTTTACTTTGTTTTAGATTAGTTTAGAATAGTTTCGTTTAGTTTAATTTGGTTAAGTTTCGTTAAATTTTTTTACTTAAGTTTAGTTTAGTTTATTTCCGGTTCCAGTTCTGGTTCAACTTCGGGTTCTGATAACGGTTCCGATTCCGGTTCCGATTCTGGTTCCGGTTCCGGTTTCGATTCCGATTTCGGTTCCAATTCAATTTAACAATTCTAAGTTTTCAGATATTTTCCATTGTTTTACCAAATTTGATATTTTCTTATATTTTCCATAGTTTTGCCGTTTTTTATGTTTTCGCATATTTTTCATAGTTTTGCGGTAAATACTGTTTTAGTTTTACTGGTTTAGTTTACTTTGGTTTAGATTAGTTTAGAATAGTTTCGTTTAGTTTAATTTGGTTAAGTTTCGTTAAATTTTTTTACTTAAGTTTAGTTTAGTTTATTTCCGGTTCCAGTTCTGGTTCAACTTCGGGTTCTGATAACGGTTCCGATTCCGGTTCCGATTCTGGTTCCGGTTCCGGTTCCGATTCCGATTTCGGTTCCAATTCAATGTAACAATTCTAAGTTTTTGGATATTTTCCATTGTTTTGCCAAATTTGATATTTTCTTATATTTTCCATAGTTTTGCCGTTTTTTACGTTTTCGCATATTTTGCATAGTTTTGCGGTAAATACTGTTTTAGTTTTACTGGTTTAGTTTACTTTGGTTTAGATTAGTTTAGAATAGTTTCGTTTAGTTTAATTTGGTTAAGTTTCGTTAAATTTTTTTACTTAAGTTTAGTTTAGTTTATTTCCGGTTCCAGTTCTGGTTCAAATCGGGTTCCGATACCGGTTCCGATTTTGGTTCCGATTCCGGTTCCGATTCCGGTTCCGATTCTAGTTCCGGTTCCGGTTCCGATTCCGATTTCGGTTCCGATTCAATTTAACAATTCTAAGTTTCCAGATATTTTCCATTGTTTTACCAAATTTGATATTTTCTTATATTTTCCATAGTTTTGCCGTTTTTTATGTTTTCGCATATTTTTCATAGTTTTGCGGTAAATACTGTTTTAGTTTTACTGGTTTAGTTTACTTTGGTTTAGATTAGTTTAGAATAGCTTCGTTTAGTTTAATTTGGTTAAGTTTCGTTAAATTTTTTTACTTAAGTTTAGTTTAGTTTATTTCCGGTTCCAGTTCTGGTTCAACTTCGGGTTCTGATAACGGTTCCGATTCCGGTTCCGATTCTGGTTCCGGTTCCGGTTCCGATTCCGATTTCGGTTCCAATTCAATTTAACAATTCTAAGTTTCCAGATATTTTCCATTGTTTTACCAAATTTGATATTTTCTTATATTTTCCATAGTTTTGCCGTTTTTTACGTTTTCGCATATTTTGCATAGTTTTGCGGTAAATACTGTTTTAGTTTTACTGGTTTAGTTTACTTTGTTTTAGATTAGTTTAGAATAGTTTCGTTTAGTTTAATTTGGTTAAGTTTCGTTAAATTTTTTTACTTAAGTTTAGTTTAGTTTATTTCCGGTTCCAGTTCTGGTTCAACATCGGGTTCCGATACCGGTTCCGATTTTGGTTCCGATTCCGGTTCCGATTCCGGTTCCGATTCTAGTTCCGGTTCCGGTTCCGATTCCGATTTCGGTTCCGATTCAATTTAACAATTCTAAGTTTCCAGATATTTTCCATTGTTTTACCAAATTTGATATTTTCTTATATTTTCCATAGTTTTGCCGTTTTTTACGTTTTCGCATATTTTGCATAGTTTTGCGGTAAATACTGTTTTAGTTTTACTGGTTTAGTTTACTTTGTTTTAGATTAGTTTAGAATAGTTTCGTTTAGTTTAATTTGGTTAAGTTTCGTTAAATTTTTTTACTTAAGTTTAGTTTAGTTTATTTCCGGTTCCAGTTCTGGTTCAACATCGGGTTCCGATACCGGTTCCGATTTTGGTTCCGATTCCGGTTCCGATTCTAGTTCCGGTTCCGGTTCCGATTCCGATTTCGGTTCCAATTCAATTTAACAATTCTAAGTTTCCAGATATTTTCCATTGTTTTACCAAATTTGATATTTTCTTATATTTTCCATAGTTTTGCCGTTTTTTATGTTTTCGCATATTTTGCATAGTTTTGCGGTAAATACTGTTTTAGTTTTACTGGTTTAGTTTACTTTGTTTTAGATTAGTTTAGAATAGTTTCGTTTAGTTTAATTTGGTTAAGTTTCGTTAAATTTTTTTACTTAAGTTTAGTTTAGTTTATTTCCGGTTCCAGTTCTGGTTCAACTTCGGGTTCTGATAACGGTTCCGATTCCGGTTCCGATTCTGGTTCCGGTTCCGGTTCCGATTCCGATTTCGGTTCCAATTCAATTTAACAATTCTAAGTTTCCAGATATTTTCCATTGTTTTACCAAATTTGATATTTTCTTATATTTTCCATAGTTTTGCCGTTTTTTATGTTTTCGCATATTTTTCATAGTTTTGCGGTAAATACTGTTTTAGTTTTACTGGTTTAGTTTACTTTGGTTTAGATTAGTTTAGAATAGTTTCGTTTAGTTTAATTTGGTTAAGTTTCGTTAAATTTTTTTACTTAAGTTTAGTTTAGTTTATTTCCGGTTCCAGTTCTGGTTCAACTTCGGGTTCTGATAACGGTTCCGATTCCGGTTCCGATTCTGGTTCCGGTTCCGGTTCCGATTCCGATTTCGGTTCCAATTCAATGTAACAATTCTAAGTTTTTGGATATTTTCCATTGTTTTGCCAAATTTGATATTTTCTTATATTTTCCATAGTTTTGCCGTTTTTTACGTTTTCGCATATTTTGCATAGTTTTGCGGTAAATACTGTTTTAGTTTTACTGGTTTAGTTTACTTTGGTTTAGATTAGTTTAGAATAGTTTCGTTTAGTTTAATTTGGTTAAGTTTCGTTAAATTTTTTTACTTAAGTTTAGTTTAGTTTATTTCCGGTTCCAGTTCTGGTTCAACATCGGGTTCCGATACCGGTTCCGATTTTGGTTCCGATTCCGGTTCCGATTCTAGTTCCGGTTCCGGTTCCGATTCCGATTTCGGTTCCGATTCAATTTAACAATTCTAAGTTTCCAGATATTTTCCATTGTTTTACCAAATTTGATATTTTCTTATATTTTCCATAGTTTTGCCGTTTTTTATGTTTTCGCATATTTTTCATAGTTTTGCGGTAAATACTGTTTTAGTTTTACTGGTTTAGTTTACTTTGGTTTAGATTAGTTTAGAATAGCTTCGTTTAGTTTAATTTGGTTAAGTTTCGTTAAATTTTTTTACTTAAGTTTAGTTTAGTTTATTTCCGGTTCCAGTTCTGGTTCAACTTCGGGTTCTGATAACGGTTCCGATTCCGGTTCCGATTCTGGTTCCGGTTCCGGTTCCGATTCCGATTTCGGTTCCAATTCAATTTAACAATTCTAAGTTTCCAGATATTTTCCATTGTTTTACCAAATTTGATATTTTCTTATATTTTCCATAGTTTTGCCGTTTTTTATGTTTTCGCATATTTTTCATAGTTTTGCGGTAAATACTGTTTTAGTTTTACTGGTTTAGTTTACTTTGGTTTAGATTAGTTTAGAATAGCTTCGTTTAGTTTAATTTGGTTAAGTTTCGTTAAATTTTTTTACTTAAGTTTAGTTTAGTTTATTTCCGGTTCCAGTTCAGGTTCAACTTCGGGTTCTGATAACGGTTCCAATTCCGGTTCCGATTCTGGTTCCGGTTCCGGTTCCGGTTCCGATTCCGATTTCGGTTCCAATTCAATTTAACAATTCTAAGTTTTCGGATATTTTCCATTGTTTTGCCAAATTTAATATTTTCTTATATTTTCCATAGTTGTGCCGTTTTTTATGTTTTCGCATATTTTTCATAGTTTTGCGGTAAATACTGTTTTAGTTTTACTGGTTTAGTTTACTTTGGTTTAGATTAGTTTAGAATAGTTTCGTTTAGTTTAATTTGGTTAAGTTTCGTTAAATTTTTTTACTTAAGTTTAGTTTAGTTTATTTCCGGTTCCAGTTCTGGTTCAACATCGGGTTCCGATACGGTTCCGATTTTGGTTCCGATTCGGTTCCGATTCGGTTCCGATTCTAGTTCCGGTTCCGGTTCCGATTCCGATTTCGGTTCCAATTCAATTTAACAATTCTAAGTTTCCAGATATTTTCCATTGTTTTACCAAATTTGATATTTTCTTATATTTTCCATAGTTTTGCCGTTTTTTATGTTTTCGCATATTTTTCATAGTTTTGCGGTAAATACTGTTTTAGTTTTACTGGTTTAGTTTACTTTGGTTTAGATTAGTTTAGAATAGTTTCGTTTAGTTTAATTTGGTTAAGTTTCGTTAAATTTTTTTACTTAAGTTTAGTTTAGTTTATTTCCGGTTCCAGTTCTGGTTCAACATCGGGTTCCGATACCGGTTCCGATTTTGGTTCCGATTCGGTTCCGATTCCGGTTCCGATTCTAGTTCCGGTTCGGTTCCGATTCCGATTTCGGTTCCGATTCAATTTAACAATTCTAAGTTTCCAGATATTTTCCATTGTTTTACCAAATTTGATATTTTCTTATATTTTCCATAGTTTTGCCGTTTTTTATGTTTTCGCATATTTTTCATAGTTTTGCGGTAAATACTGTTTTAGTTTTACTGGTTTAGTTTACTTTGGTTTAGATTAGTTTAGAATAGTTTCGTTTAGTTTAATTTGGTTAAGTTTCGTTAAATTTTTTTACTTAAGTTTAGTTTAGTTTATTTCCGGTTCCAGTTCAGGTTCAACTTCGGGTTCTGATAACGGTTCCGATTCCGGTTCCGATTCTGGTTCCGGTTCCGGTTCCGATTCCGATTTCGGTTCCAATTCAATTTAACAATTCTAAGTTTCCAGATATTTTCCATTGTTTTACCAAATTTGATATTTTCTTATATTTTCCATAGTTTTGCCGTTTTTTATGTTTTCGCATATTTTTCATAGTTTTGCGGTAAATACTGTTTTAGTTTTACTGGTTTAGTTTACTTTGGTTTAGATTAGTTTAGAATAGTTTCGTTTAGTTTAATTTGGTTAAGTTTCGTTAAATTTTTTTACTTAAGTTTAGTTTAGTTTATTTCCGGTTCCAGTTCGGTTCAACTTCGGGTTCTGATAACGGTTCCAATTCCGGTTCCGATTCTGTTCCGGTTCCGGTTCCGGTTCCGATTCCGATTTCGGTTCCAATTCAATTTAACAATTCTAAGTTTTCGGATATTTTCCATTGTTTTACCAAATTTGATATTTTCTTATATTTTCCATAGTTTTGCCGTTTTTTATGTTTTCGCATATTTTTCATAGTTTTGCGGTAAATACTGTTTTAGTTTTACTGGTTTAGTTTACTTTGGTTTAGATTAGTTTAGAATAGTTTCGTTTAGTTTAATTTGGTTAAGTTTCGTTAAATTTTTTTACTTAAGTTTAGTTTAGTTTATTTCCGGTTCCAGTTCTGGTTCAACATCGGGTTCCGATACCGGTTCCGATTTTGGTTCCGATTCGGTTCCGATTCCGGTTCCGATTCTAGTTCCGGTTCCGGTTCCGATTCCGATTTCGGTTCCGATTCAATTTAACAATTCTAAGTTTTTGGATATTTTCCATTGTTTTGCCAAATTTAATATTTTCTTATATTTTCCATAGTTTTGCCGTTTTTTACGTTTTCGCATATTTTGCATAGTTTTGCGGTAAATACTGTTTTAGTTTTACTGGTTTAGTTTACTTTGGTTTAGATTAGTTTAGAATAGCTTCGTTTAGTTTAATTTGGTTAAGTTTCGTTAAATTTTTTTACTTAAGTTTAGTTTAGTTTATTTCCGGTTCCAGTTCTGGTTCAACTTCGGGTTCTGATAACGGTTCCGATTCCGGTTCCGATTCTGGTTCCGGTTCCGGTTCCGATTCCGATTTCGGTTCCAATTCAATTTAACAATTCTAAGTTTCCAGATATTTTCCATTGTTTTACCAAATTTGATATTTTCTTATATTTTCCATAGTTTTGCCGTTTTTTATGTTTTCGCATATTTTTCATAGTTTTGCGGTAAATACTGTTTTAGTTTTACTGGTTTAGTTTACTTTGGTTTAGATTAGTTTAGAATAGTTTCGTTTAGTTTAATTTGGTTAAGTTTCGTTAAATTTTTTTACTTAAGTTTAGTTTAGTTTATTTCCGGTTCCAGTTCTGGTTCAACTTCGGGTTCTGATAACGGTTCCGATTCCGGTTCCGATTCTGGTTCCGGTTCCGGTTCCGGTTCCGATTCCGATTTCGGTTCCAATTCAATTTAACAATTCTAAGTTTTCGGATATTTTCCATTGTTTTGCCAAATTTGATATTTTCTTATATTTTCCATAGTTTTGCCGTTTTTTATGTTTTCGCATATTTTTCATAGTTTTGCGGTAAATACTGTTTTAGTTTTACTGGTTTAGTTTACTTTGGTTTAGATTAGTTTAGAATAGTTTCGTTTAGTTTAATTTGGTTAAGTTTCGTTAAATTTTTTTACTTAAGTTTAGTTTAGTTTATTTCCGGTTCCAGTTCTGGTTCAACATCGGGTTCCGATACCGGTTCCGATTTTGGTTCCGATTCCGGTTCCGATTCCGGTTCCGATTCTAGTTCCGGTTCCGGTTCCGATTCCGATTTCGGTTCCGATTCAATTTAACAATTCTAAGTTTCCAGATATTTTCCATTGTTTTACCAAATTTGATATTTTCTTATATTTTCCATAGTTTTGCCGTTTTTATGTTTTCGCATATTTTTCATAGTTTTGCGGTAAATACTGTTTTAGTTTTACTGGTTTAGTTTACTTTGGTTTAGATTAGTTTAGAATAGTTTCGTTTAGTTTAATTTGGTTAAGTTTCGTTAAATTTTTTTACTTAAGTTTAGTTTAGTTTATTTCCGGTTCCAGTTCTGGTTCAACATCGGGTTCCGATACCGGTTCCGATTTTGGTTCCAATTCCGGTTCCGATTCCGGTTCCGATTCTAGTTCCGGTTCCGGTTCCGATTCCGATTTCGGTTCCGATTCAATTTAACAATTCTAAGTTTCCAGATATTTTCCATTGTTTTACCAAATTTGATATTTTCTTATATTTTCCATAGTTTTGCCGTTTTTTATGTTTTCGCATATTTTTCATAGTTTTGCGGTAAATACTGTTTTAGTTTTACTGGTTTAGTTTACTTTGGTTTAGATTAGTTTAGAATAGTTTCGTTTAGTTTAATTTGGTTAAGTTTCGTTAAATTTTTTTACTTAAGTTTAGTTTAGTTTATTTCCGGTTCCAGTTCTGGTTCAACTTCGGGTTCTGATAACGGTTCCGATTCCGGTTCCGATTCTGGTTCCGGTTCCGGTTCCGATTCCGATTTCGGTTCCAATTCAATTTAACAATTCTAAGTTTCCAGATATTTTCCATTGTTTTACCAAATTTGATATTTTCTTATATTTTCCATAGTTTTGCCGTTTTTTATGTTTTCGCATATTTTCCATAGTTTTGCGGTAAATACTGTTTTAGTTTTACTGGTTTAGTTTACTTTGGTTTAGATTAGTTTAGAATAGTTTCGTTTAGTTTAATTTGGTTAAGTTTCGTTAAATTTTTTTACTTAAGTTTAGTTTAGTTTATTTCCGGTTCCAGTTCTGGTTCAACTTCGGGTTCTGATAACGGTTCCGATTCCGGTTCCGATTCTGGTTCCGGATCCGGTTCCGATTCCGATTTCGGTTCCAATTCAATT